GTTAACATAAACAAATCTAAAATTATAGTTTTCAACAGCACTGGTGAAAACCTTGAAGGCAAATTTCAATTCTACATTAATGGAACACAACTCGAATGTGTGAATTTTTATAACTACCTTGACATCACTTTTCAATAAAAATAGAAATTTTGTGCAGTCACAGCAAGGTTGTATAAAAAAAGCTCACAAAGCATCATTTAAAATGTATAAAATGCTTTGGGGTTCAAATGCCATTCAGTGAGTCTAGCCTGTAAACTGTTTGATTCTGTTATTAAACCGGTTATTCTTTATGGGTCAGAAGTTTGGGGTAGTTTTCTGACTAATCTATTTAGCGGAACTGGCAATAGCAAATGAGAGATTTATAATACTGTTTTTGTATCAAACCTATTTTGTGACAAAATATTACCAGAAAAAAAACTTCATATAAAGTTTTGTAAAAGAGTTTTGGGAGTACACAGGAAGGCATCAAATATTGCTTGTAGAAGTGAACTTGGTCGTTCCCCACTTGTGATTGATGTGTGTACTACTGTCATAACATTTTATCAAAGGTTGTCATGTAAGAAAACAACAATATAATTATCGAAGATGCTTTTAAAGAAAGTAGTGGGTTTAAATACGATCCTTGGTATAAATTTGTCCAAAAACTTCTACAAATTACAAATATGACAAACACGGATACTAATCAGGTCAGTTTTTGCAATCTGTTTAAAGAAAGGTTAAACCCAATTTACTCAACAAATGTGGAAAGTCAGTCGAACAAAACTGGTCATAATAAACTAAGTACTTGTACAACATTCAAAAATAATTATAAATTTGAAAAATACTTGGATGATATAAAAAACGTTAGTAGCATTAACCAAATTCCGTATTTCAGCTCACTTCTTGCCAATTGAAATAGGCCGTCACAGGGAATAAATAAAATTGACAGGGTATGTAACAAGTGTGACTCTAATGATGTGGGCGATGAAAAACATTACTTTTTTATTGTGAATTCCTCATACTCATCTGATTATCAAACCTTACGAAATGGAGAATTGTTTATTAATGTTTTCTCAAGTGTAGACAAATATGTTTGTAGTATTTTAGATAATTTTGTTTTTCAGATTTTAAAATTAGTTTAGATTAGTTGTGTTACTTTATGTTTCTTATATTGGACTTTACTCAAGCATTGTTTTTGTGTACGTTCCAAATATCCTATCCTATCCTATCCTATCCTATCCTATCCTATCCTATCCTATCCTATCCTATCCTATCCTATCCTATCCTACTTTATTGCTTTATGGTGTACTTTTATTGGAACGATAAACGGATTTATGTCACGTTATTTACTTACTAATTTTATGCAAACATTCAAGGTCCATTCACCGATGAAGTTACGTCACTTATTAAATTGACCAATCCAACGGATGAAATCGTGTGCTTCAAGATGATGACAACGTCCCCTCGTAACTATATTGTGAATCCTAACAGAGGGATCGTAAAACCCGATTCGACCGTTCATGTCAAAGGTTAGTTACTGTTGGCAACGCCACCTATATCTATGGTTAAGAAAAAAACTCACATTTACTTGTATTCAACACTGAGATATGTTCGGTCAAGTGTGTCTATCGACGTACGACGTCATTTTGTTTTACGAATGTCGGCGTCATACACTCATGACTCTTTCTTCTATTCATGGTCACACGTAGATGCAAGTTGAATACAAGACATTTTTTTTTAACAGAAGAATGTTTAAAAATTCATATTTAATAACTATTTTATAGGAAGAATTATCACTATAAAATAACAGTATTTATCAAAGCTCTTTTATTGTTTGAAAACCACATCATTGTTTACCTATACATTTAACTAAATGTTGAGTAACCATACCCAGGGCCATTGGTATCTTTTAATAATAATATTATTAATAATAAACTATCGTATCCTTTATAGGATCTTGAGTTAAATCACAATAAAGTGTGGATGAAAGGAAAAACAAGAAAGACAATAAAATAAAATATCATAAGAATGATAATAACAAAAAAAAACCTTGCAGATATGCCTTGATATTAATATTGTTGTTTATTTGAATGAGAACTAAGGCTTTTTCATGTTATTTTCTCTAATTTTGAAACATTCGTATATGTATTTAGCTAGTTTTATAATTGTTTTATTTTCATTGTTGTTCATCATAGCTATCATTTTTTCTTCATGTGTCGTGTTTTGGAGTAACATTTTTGACTCGGTGTTTAGTTGGTTTCTTTCATTTTCATTATAATTTGCAGTTAATAAGCAGAAAATGTTTTTCATCTTCAATTTCGTCTAGATAAATTACGTTTTTTTTAAATTAATGTATTTCAGAAATTGGTCGTAATGAGTACATACAGGCATTAATGTTCTTTAATTTCTAATTTAACCTTATGGATTATGATGTTTGGGTAACCTTCCCCGGGGTCATCTTTGTTGTTCATTGAGAATCTTAATTTACTTTCCCGGATGATGTTTCAGTGTGGTGTTATTCTATGTTTATATAGCTCATATTAGCATATTGCATCATTTCAGTGGTGTTAGTAAGTGAGTTCACACCAGATCCTGCTCGTAGTGGCAAAGATAAGTTCATGGTACAGTCAGTGATTGTCAGTAAAGCGGACGTCGATCAGGATAAATTAGTAAGTTGATTTTACTAAATTACGACAATACCCATTGTGTGTCTATATAAGATTCAATTGATCGACCGTATATTAGACACATTATTTAAATAATTAAAGAGCGGCAGTCGTCGTGCGCGTCCTGTTCGATATGGGACTCATAGCGACGTATACAACGCGTGTAAAATACGTTGTTTATTTACATGAAATTCGAACACGCACTGCGCGACGACCACCGCGCTTTAAATGTGTTATCAACTATAACATAACAAACCTAATGTTTTGATTTAATACCACTAGAAACAATGAGTAGAAAAAAATAGGTGGTGACATCTAAAAACATTGCATTTTATTTCCCGTCCGCTTTGCTTAGGTGAACCTGTACGAGTAACTTTTTGTTCTGTTGCATAATCATTCTACAGTGGAAAGATTCTAAAACATCAGATATAATGAAGTCCAAATTGAAATGTGTTCATAAAGTAAGTATAACACCCTGAATATTTACTCGTACTCTTCTAAACATATATTTATTATTGATTCTCTGTATCGTGTCACGTTTATTAATGTTTTTGAACAAACAAAAAACTTATGCTCCCCGCACAACAATATTGATCAAATGACGTTAGGGAGCCCTATCACGCTCGACATGGTCAACATATTCCTGAAGTATGTGTCAAATAAAAACAGCATCCCGAATTTCATTTTGTGCACAAAAAAGCATAGTGTAATCATGGTGAGAACAGTTACAATCTCTTTACGTCCACTAGCGGAAACAAACACCTATTAAGTGTAAGTAATAACACATACAGTCATATACACGAATATATAAACATGAAACACGAGATTCGAAATTCAACTCAGCGAATCAGCATCGCCACTGTAACCATAGGCGTTATCCATTACACTATATTCTTTCCATTTTAGGACAAAGAAGATGGTCGGATTGTGGCAGATAGTGCGTGTATGGATCCACCGGAACTGTTGAAAGCAGAGGGGTAAGAGCAAACTAGTCTAACATATATGTACACATAATTGTTAAATCACACAACGGGTTGAATACATCTTCTCTAACTGGTATAGGCCGTCGTACTTGTCTGCGTTTCGCGCATGTTTGTGTGCCAGTAACTTGTTAAAAGAACCCATTGGTCGCATCCGAAGATAAAATAAAAGCGTTGTTTTCTGTTATTAAATATACGTGTATGTGTCGACGTTAATAAAACAAATTATGGGTTATGTTGTCACCGTGACGGCAGATTGTAAAAAAATGTTCGTCAGTGAGCGACTTTTGTTATTAGACATTCTCATAGAGGGCGTTAATATTGTGAACAAATAACGTCACAGCGTGACGATCTCTTATTAATATACTTAATGTGAGAGAGTTCTTATAAGTGTTAAAATTTTCGTTTCAGACCTGAAATTATTGATATTGACGACGACGACGAAGAAGATGATGATGACGAGTCTCTTAAAACCGCACCTGAAGTATTTTCAAGCTTCCGTAGAATCGATGATGAGGATGGTGATGATGCGGATGACGAAGATGAGAAACGAACTTGGACAGGGGTAGATGACGAAGATGATGATGATAATGATGATGATGATAGGGGTAATTAAGCATTATTTGTCACATGTATGGGAATATTTCAACAGTTAACGTGGATGAATCTATTCGTGTGATTTCAAACTTTAAATAAATGAAAATTGAAAATCCAGCTTGCATAATATAATTAAATTTCATTATATACACCTTTATTCCAATTGTGTTATAGTTGATGACAGAGATGATGAAATGGTCGTATGCTGGCGGTGGATGGATGATATCCAACAATGGAGACTGTTTGAGGAAGATATTGCGGAAGAGTTAGAAACCCATTACCAGAAAGACAGTCACAGCATCATCACACTCCCAATGGGGGACTTTGGGTAAGAAACAAAAAAATCACCAAAGCAGTTAGTGACTTGACGAAGGCGTGTTTTGAGTTCTCCTTTCAATCGAAATATTTAAAAGTGGCAAAATCGTGAACAGATAGATTATTAGTTTGTAAATGACTAATGTTTTACCAACGTGAAATATACACATTATCCTTATTTTCAGATATAATTTTGACTTTAATGGCATGAAACAAGAGAATTTGGAAACAGGGCGTAAAAGGGTCATAAGGAGAGAAGGTAATTAATAACTAAATAGTGTTTATATTACTCATTTATTCATTATATTATGTATAATTGATGTATTTGTTTTTGTTATATATTTTATTTCCAAACGTAGATAAATTACGTTTTTTTTTAAATTAATGTATTTCAGAAATTGGTCGTAATGAGTACACTACACTGCTAGAGATCGAATATTCTCTTGATTTCAACTAAGTCTGACTGTCGATGGATGTATAGCAGAGCTCTTGATCATTGCAGATTAAATTGACTGCATTACCCCTATTTTAATTTTTCGCTACAAAATGACCCCCGAACCACCAAATCCCGCACATTTATATAGACTATGAATTGTGTCAATATTGTACACAAGTACAATTACTCATTCGTGAAAATTCTAGTCCTAGTCTCAAAACAACTTCATTTACATATAGCCGAATAAATAAATAAACCAGTGTTAAGTTTCCGTTTAACCTATTATTATATAAAGGGACATTTACAGAATAATAATCCTTGTTAACGTTTCAATATTTATTTATTGCAATCGATGACTTTCGGAGTTCAATCTCAGGTGGTATATTTGACGGAGTACATGTATGTCTGGTGTCTTCTTAGCAGCCGATCTTGTAATAAGTGTAGGAAATACCATGGGACCAACAACTCCTCGATGCACCGTGGTGTTAGCTACATTTTTTGAAGTACTAAGCAAGGTAGTACTAAGTACTAAGCACTGAAACTTCCAAGCCAACTGCTTTTAGGATTGCAGTGGTGAATTATGGCCAGCAGCACCATGGCATGTATTCCGAAAATGCAAGAAATCACCTATAACCACTAAAATCCTTTTTACAAACATCTATCTACCTAACCACAGCATGGGAGATAAATGTTAGATCTGAAAATCTGTGAAATTCTGAAATAGTTTAACTGATTGGCTTGTTTGTCTGCGCGCCATGAATCAACTTCTCGCGAGCGCGTCGGTAACAGTAAAAAACGTCCTATAAATAACGACTTGTAGAAACCTTGTCTGCTTCACGATTATTATCAGTTAATCTGTGACAAAAGACTGTTGACAACATTGATCTCCAAAAAGTAAACAATATTCAGTGACAACAGTTATCGTCGACTACTCAACAACCAAAATTCGAAGGGGAGTCACGTAACCATGTTTGGGTGAGCAACCATGCTACATCGGCCCCGCTTTGTTAAACAGTTGCTGAAGGAAATAGAAGACACCTCCACTGGAAACATGTGAGATAGAAGTGTAAAGGTACAGAGAACACGCTGACAATATGGCATCAAAGGATATAAAGGAAAAGATGAAAAAACTGAAGGAAAAAGAAACCAAGGAACAAAAACTTATGGAAGCCTACATGGCATCAAAGACAAGCGCGAAGGAGGCCAAAAAGGGGGATGATGAGGAATCGAGGTCCGAAAATGATGAAGTCTCGAGCTATTCTCTGAGAACTATCACTATGCTGATCATTGATCTAAAACAAAGCACTGAGGCAGGTTTCGGGGACATAGCAGGAATGTTAATACGAATGGGAGAGGTGAAGAAAAAGTGCAGTGAATTGGAGGAAACGGTATAATACAATGCGAACACCGGATGGGAAAACGCCCAGGAAATTGACCACCTGAAAAAAAAGATTCATGAGCTAGAAACTGAAAATAAACGTAAAAAAGAATCAAGTCTTAGAAATGAAAGACATTCAGTTTGAGATTTTATGGAATCACAGAGAAAGAAGAAGAAAATGCTCTGAGCACTGTGTGGGAAGTGGTGAGTGAAAAATTTTGTATAGATCCAAAGACCGTGGAAAACGCATATCGAATCCGGGGGAGGGTGAAAATTGGGAAAATTGGGAAGGATGAATTCTTAGATTTAGAAGGTTAGCTCAAAGGGGTGGCTGTAGCATTCGTGTGCATCGGTGATGGCAGACTTGAGTTTAGTCGTTTGGGGCTGGCATGTTCGTTGTGTTGTAGGCCATAAGGCATGGGAGAGGGATTGGGAGGAACCTCTCAGAACCCCTAACATCAAAAAATTTTCAGAGGACCAAGCAACAGTTTGTGAGGGTTGTATTACTTATGGGGAAGCCCATGAAGCAATCAAGACGTTTCCTGCAAATAAAATTCCAGTAAATGATGGAATGCTGATTGACTTCTACAAATGTTTTGGGGGTCTTATTGGAAACTTTGTGGTTAATTCATTGAATACTGCTTTTGAGAAGGGCAAGCTATCACCAACACAACAACAAGGGGTAATCACTTTATTGGAAAAGAAAGGACAGGAGATTTTTTAAAAAATGGCGACCAATCTCATTGCTGAATGCAGACTACAAGATTGGTACAAAATGCCTGGCCAAGCGATTGGAAATAATTCTTCCTTCACTCATACATGAAAATCAGTCTGCCTTTGTGAAAAATCGATTCATTGGGGATGGGGTGATATTGGCTGAACAAATTCTAGATTATTCAGATAAACAAAAAATACTGGGCATTTTATTGACTATTGATATAGAAAAAGCATTTGACACAGTTGAATGGGATTTTCTATACAAAGCGCTGGCAGCCTTCAATTTTGGAACTGACTTCATTCAGAAAGCCAAAGTACTGTACAAAAATATTTCTATTAGTGTCATGCACAAGGGTACAAGCACTGGCTATTTCCCACTTCACAGAGGTGTGAGGCAAGGCGGTTCCATATCACCCATGCATTTTATTTTGGCTTTAGAAATTTTTATGAGTTGAATGCATGATGATCCGAATATTAAAGGGTTGGAAGTGCCCGACCAGGTGGAGGTTAAGGGAGCTGCGTATGCAGATTACCTTACTTGCTTATTAAGGGATATACCATCCTGTCATCGCCTGTTTGAGAAACTTTTAAACACTTTCGGATAATCTCAGGTTTAGCAGTAAATAAATGTGGTTGGCCAAATGGAAACATAGAATAGATAAACTCCTACGTCTTAGTTGGCCTAACACTCCCATTAACATTTTGGGAATCTACATTTCGTTTGATAAAAAAAATGACATCCAGGATGAATTGGGCTTCCCCATTAGAATCTCTAAAGTCATCAATTAAATTTTTGAAAAGGAGAAATTTAAGCCTGTTAGGTAAAGTGCAAATTATTAAAGACATTAACAAGCTCATTTTTGTGTTTTTATGTGGAGAGGTCCTGATACGATTGCCAGGAGGACAGCAATTGTTGGTATTGGAAAGAGAGGTTTAAATGTCCCATATGTATTTTCAATTCATAAAGCTCAACGTATAAACTGGATGCGCCGCTATTTTGATGAAACCACACCTCATCCGTGGAAATGGTTTTTGACAAATACTTTGGTGAAAGTGGGAAATATTGAGCTACTTTTTAGCTCCGCTGTCGACTTTGTCGAGCAGAGCTTATCATATGAGTGATTGTCCCTCGTCGTCGTCCGTGTCAATGTTTTACTTTTTCGACTTCCTCTTGAAAACTACAAGCCTGAAGCTTTGATACTTGGTGTACCTTGGGTAGACCTCTCTCAGATTTGTTCATTTTATGATGATATCTTCAATTCTCTAATTTTGGTGAATATTTTTGTCATTTTTGGTAAAAAGTGATATTTTTGACTTCTTGTTAGATAACGCGAGTCCGATTGCTTTGGTATTACATATATAGGGACTACAAGTGGACCTCTCTCAGATTTGTTCATTTTGTAAGGATATCTTCAATTCTCTAATTTTGGTGAATATTTTTGTCATATTCGGTAAAAAGTGATATTTTTGACTTCTTGTTAAAAACTGCCAGTCCAATTGCTTTGATATTACATATATAGGTACTACATGTGGCCCTCTCTTAGATTTGTTCATTTTGTAATGATATCGTTAATTCTCCAATTTTGGTAAATATTTTTGTCATTTTTGGTAAAAAGTTATATTTTTGACTTCTATTTGAAAACCTTATTGTTTTTATACTACTTATATAGGTACTACATGTAGACCTCTTTCAGATTTGTTAATTTCGTGGTGATATCTTCAATTATCGAATGTTGATGATTATTTTGGGTAAAAATTGATATTTTTTAATTCTTGTTGAAAACAGTAAGTCCTGTTGCTTTGATACTATACATATTGTTCATTTTCTAATGATATCTTCTGTTCTTTAATTGCAATGTGCATTGCTAACAGCCGACAGGCTGCTTGTTAAGGGTAATTTTGACATTAATATGTTGCTGTTACAACTTAACAGCTTCCACCACAGTATGCTGAAAACCTGGCAGTCAGTCAGTAGTGCATATCCTGAATCAAATAATATGGAATAACAAAAATCGTTTTGACTGCTGATAAAAGTTTTTATTACAAAGAATTTGATGATGTGGGGATCACTATGTGGGGCAACCTTTTAGTAACATGGGTTTTATAATGGATTGGGAAGAAATGGTGAACAAAGGTGTCCCAAAGCACATGTTTTTGAATTGGTGAGGTATTATATCATCAGTACCTTCAGGGTTAAAGGGAGGAGTGGAAAGACAGGAACAGATGATTGGGGTGAAGTTTGTTGTTCACTTATTCACCTAAATCAATGTACAGCAAAGCAAGTTGTTAAGGGTATTATTTTATTCCCCCACGCTCAGAGGAGGTAATTTCAGAATTGCTGGGAGAGAGATTACATGGCTGGGAAGCTATCTACAAGTTACCATTCAAAATAACAATAGATACTAAATTGAGGGTGCTTCAATAGAAAATGAACCACAACTTAATAATGACAAATGTAAAACTAAATAAAATTTTGCCCCAGATTTGCCAATCTAAAATGTGTACATTTTGTAAAGCGGAAGTGGAAACAATTATGCACTTTATGATAAAGGTGTTCTCTTGTTCAGTTGTTTTGGAAGGCATTTTCTGAGCGATGGGGAAAACATATTGGGTTGAGAAATACTTTATCTGATGAAACAATTCTAATGGGAGATCCACATGAGTTATTATTGCTCAATTTTTTTACTATTGCTAACTAAGCGTTTTATCTATATCTGAAAATATAAAGGAAAAAATTCCACATTTCAAACATCTTAAACCGTTTGTTCAAAATATTCAGAAAAAAAAGGGAAATTAAATGCACATATTAGGAAATGGGGTGAATTTCTGACTGTATTGACTGTGTAAAGGTGTTTCATATAGAATTTATGTGAAACTGAAATGTATTTTTTAGGAGACTTGACTCAATAAAAAAAACATCTTAAATATAAAAAAAAATATCCCTGTCGAAAGAAAATGGCTGACAAAAATAATGTAGGTGAACAGATGGCAGACCAACCATCCACTTCTTGCAAAAGGTTGAAATTGTTACGAAAAGCCGAAAGTGGAGTAATAACTCGAATCACAAACCGAATCGAACCGCTAATATGTGACCCAACGAATGTATTAGAGGTAATAATTAAATTGAAAAAATATGACAAAGCAAAAGAGAATTTGGAACGTGCCGATAAAAATACCATGATGCACTGTCCAAAGAAGAAGCTACGCATGAAAATGAAACATGGTTGCGAACAAAAGAGCATGCAAGAACTGGGCGAGAGACTACGCACATATTTACTAAACTATGACGAACCATGCATTGACCCGACAGACAGTGCTTCCAATGTAGGAGAGCAGACATCGAGAAGCCACAGCAGGATCATGTCGTGTACTTCGAGTCTAAGAAGTGACGCTTCAGCGCGTAGTGCATTAGCAAGTAAAGAAGCCATGTTGGCACGTCTGAAGGGCCTACAACTTGAACAGGTCTTGACGATGAGGAAGCTAAAATCATTATGAGATATGAAGATGAGTAAATTAGCATACAAGCGAGAGATAATGAAGGCCCGATGACGCAGAGAAGAGCTTCAACAAGAGACAAGCATTGCAGAAGAAACTGCCAAGGAGCAAGCATACTTAGGTAAAAGTTTTGAAACTGCAAGCGGAATGTCTGGCATCTCAAACTTGTTCAAAAAGCCCGTATTGGTCAATGAAACAGTAAATGCACAAAAGGATATTGTGACATCTGCAAAGACGGTCACGAAAGTGGCCAATGTAACAGCAATACACACAGATGAGTACAACCCAGTTAAATATCAAGACTTTGACTACACTTTTTAAAGGTGTACCCCAGAGGAAAGCTGTGACAGCTGATCCAGGGTTTCTCCATGCCCTTAGAAATGGGGTATACAGCCGCTAGAAAACGACTGAAAGATAAATATGGGAAACCGCAAGCATTAGCAAATGCTTAATGGAAAAAAGCAGAAGAATGGCCAATGATCGAAGCAAAAGATGAAGAACCGTTTGATGACTTGGCATTATTCTTAACAGCATGTGAAGACGCGATGGAAGGTGATAAACATGTGAGGAAAATCATGATGCACCCGGTAACTTTAGAAACATTACTAAAGAGTTACCCTATAAACAGAGGGCACGGTGGCGAAAGATTTTTAACAGAATAAAGCGAAATAACATAGATGTGTTTTGTAAATGAAGAAGCATCTGGAGCTGAATACGAAATCTCCAACCATGAAAACAGCTAATGAAACAGAGCAACGCAGAAGGAAATCTGTATCATACACCATTGCAACAGAAGAAGATACAACTGGGTGCCTAGGCTGTTCAGGCACTTAACATCAATTAGCAGAATGCCAAACGTTTGCCAAAAAGGGCTACAAGGAACAGAAAGAACTGATACTGAAGAAAGGCTTATGCTTTGGATGTCTTTCCAAGGCAGAACACCTGGTTAATGATACACCCATCGCATCAACGACTGTGGGTTATAATTCAAACGAATCAATCAATGATGACCTGCAAGGCAGACCAATATTGATACCAGTTCAAATAAGATATAAAGCTACAGGTGGTCATGTAGTCACATATGCATTTCTGGAGGAGGGAAGCGACTCTGTGATATGCACAGAACGTGTTCGGAAAGCATTGAACGTTCGTGGAGAAAAAATGAAACTAACCTTACACATGGTAAGCAGAAGCAAAGTCACTGATACCCAACGTATTAAGTGCCTTGAAGTGTCGGACATGAATGACGAGAATTTTATAAGCCTACCAGAGGTTTATACCCGAAATGAACTACCATTATCGGCAACACACACTGTACAAGAGGAGGATCTGAAAAAAATGGCTACACCTTCAAAGACAGATGAAGTAGGACTGCTAATAGGCAGCAACGTAAGTACAGCTTTCAAACCACTAGAAACTAAGTTTATTGGCTGTAACGAACCGTATGCCGTTCGTACGTCGCTAGGATGGTCAGTAAAGGGAATGTCTATGAGGGATGGTGACAATCACAATGCAGCAGTATTCCACAATATTCGGGTAGAACCGACTGTGGAAAAGATGATAGCAGACATGTATAATCATGAATTCAGCGAACATACAGTTGAAGACAAACCAGAATATTCGGTTGAAGACAAACACTTCCTGAGCATAGTGAAGACAAAAACCACATTTGTTGATGGACACTACAATGTTCCATTGCCATTCAGAAATAAGAATGGACAACAGAGCCAATATAGAAATGAGACTTAAGCAACTAAAACGCAAGTTTGACAAGAATACATCATACCGTGAAGAATACACACGTTTTATGAAAAGTACCATCAATAAGGGCTACGCAGAAATGATACCAGTCTCAGCTGTCAAGGGTCACCAGGGAAAAAAGTGGCACCTACCACACCATGGAGTTTATCACCCACAAAAAAAACTACAAGTTGTCTTTGACAGTGCTGCTGAGTATGGAGGGACTTCATTGAACCGTCAATTGATACAAGGACCAGATCTGACAAATACGCTAGTCGGGGTACTTGTGCAATTCCGAGAAGAGAAAGTTGCAGTTATGTCAGACATTGAAGCCATGTTCTCACAAGTAAGAATACTAGTGAATTACATGGACTACCAGAGGTTTTTGTGGTGGCCCAATGGTGAAACTAACAACCCTCTGAGGGAATATCGCATGAAAGTGCACATATTCGGAGCAACATCTTCACCATCTTGCACAAACAATGCATTGAAGATGACAGCAGAACAGAGCAATGAGAAGACAATAGAGAATACCATCAAAAGAAACTTCTACGTTGATGACATATTAAAATCAGTGGTGACCATAGATGAAGGGCATCAACTTGCAGGCAACCTGATCAAAACCTGCAAGACTGGAGGTTTCAAGCTGACAAAGTTCAACATTAGAAGCTATAGCCGAAGAAGATAGAACACAAGCATTCAATAACTTGAATTCAACCCTGATTTCTTGCAAACAGAAAATGCATTGGGCATGCAGTGGAACATAGAATCGGACGAATTGGGATTTCGCACTAAAATCAAACAGAAATCAGCGACAAAACGTGGGATGCTGTGCACTATCAGCACCATCTATAATCCACTAGGGCTAGCAGCACCTGCTATACTACCGATCCGAAGAACCTTTCAAGAATATACAAGGCCAAGAAAGGTGGGATGTTGACATACCACCAAAACAGCATAAACAATGGAAGAAGTGGTTAGAAAGTCTACCAGAATTAGAATCAGAATTCAGAATCAACAGGTGCATGAAACCAATAGACTTCGGCAGAGCACAACGTGCTGAGTTGCATCATTTTTCAGACACAAGTGGTTATGAAGCTGTCTCTTACATAAGAATAATCAATCACAGCAATAAGATCTACTGTGCCTTACTTATGTCAAAGGCTAGAGTTGTACCGCTCAAGCAAATAACAATACTGCGGATGGAATTAACTGTGGCTACAGTAGCTATACAATTGGACAAAATGTTAAGAGGAGAATTAGACGTCATTGTAGATAACTCATACTTCTGGACAGACAGTAAAACTGTTCTTTGGTACATCATGAATAAAGCTATGAGATTTCACACCTTTGTAGCTAACAGATTGGCAGTGATTCATGGAGGATCAACTGAAGATCAGTCGAGATTTGTGAACATCGCTGAGAATCCTGCAGATGAATGATCACGTGGGCAATCTATACAGAAATTGCTAGCGAATGAGCGCTGGATGAGAGGACCACCTTTTTATGGAAACACAAGACAAATGGACAGTCAACAAATCAGACTGTGAAATACATGACAATGACTTAGAGCTTAAGCAAAATATTGAGGTGCACACAATCATTTACAAAAGAGACTTCAGAGAGTTCATTGGCAGGCTAGTCACGCACCACTCAAGTTGGCATTGACTAAAAAAAGCTGTGGCATGGATACAGAAAATCAGGAATGCACTACTACAACAATCGCAAGGTGATAAATATACCATCGAACCAATGTTCGTAGAAGACCTACAGTCTGCAGAGAACATGATTATACGAAAGGTTCAACACCAAGCATTCTCAGAAGAAATCAATGATCTAATGCACATCAACTCAGATCACAGCTTCAGAAAATTGGATCCTTTTATTGGAACTGACGGATTGTTGCGAGTAGGTGGGAGTTTGCGATTTGCGGAAATACCTGATGAATCAAAACGTCCTATACTACTTCCGAAGGACTCAATAATATTAGAGATAATAATACGACAAATACACAAACAAGGGCAACACTTTGGCCATTCGTACATACTGTCTCAGCTACGAGAAAAGTACTGGATTGTTAACACTAAATCGGCAGCTAGAAAATTAATATCGAAATGTATTGTGTGCAAGCGACAACGTGGATGGCCAAGAGAACAAATGATGGCAGATCTACCGGTGGACAGACTGGCTATTGGTGAACCCCCATTCACACGGATGGGCATAGATTGTTTTGACCCAATAGCGATGAAATTAAAGAGAAGTCGAATCAAACGCTATTGTGTGATTTTTACATGTTTAACAATAAGAGCAGTTCACATAGAAATTGCAGACTCAATGGACACGGACTCGTTAGCAAGTGGAACCATGCACAGATAAACGAGGGACTACTACGTAAGGGCATCAACTGGAAGTTTAACCCGCCTTATGGTTCACACTTTGGAGAAAGTTGGGAAAGACAGATATGCATGATCAAGCAGCTTCTGAGCATATTAGTTGGTCAAGAAATACTGACTGATGGAAGCTTGAGAATTATCATGTGTGAGGTGGAGATGACTATTAACAGTCGACCGCTAACTACAGGCGACGCGAGGGATTTCGATGCATTGACACCAAGCATGATGCTGAACATGGCAAGTACCGAGTTACACACACCGTAAACGTCGATGGAAGCAGGTGCAGTACATGTCTGACATTTTCTGGAGAAGGTGGATCAAGAAATATCTACTGTCGCTTCAACGACGACAAAAGTGGCTTAATATGAAACCAAATTTGAAAATCAACGACATCATGTTAGTTAAAGATGAAGACACACCACGCAATTTGTGGCCACTTGGAAAAGTGTTACAAGTAACACCTGGCGCCAGTAGATTGGTAAGAAAGGTGTTGGTGAAAACTCAAAGCAGGATCATATCAAGATCACATGTCAAAATATGCACATTACTGGAAGCGGAAGAACAATGCACTCAAGTAGTGGACAGTAAAATCAACTACGCTCAGTGTAGGCAGTGAACAACGTTCTCAAGTAGTGGACAGTCAAACCCACTACGTTCAGCTTTGACAGTGAATGAAGATCAACATATCAGATTGTCATATTTGGCAAAAGACCAGATCATATATTATACTTAAGACAAAGTCTCAAAGACATTTGCAGTATAGTTTTTTGACTTTCGAATTACATGATTTTTTGTACTGTACTTTTATTCATTCAAATTTGATAGTTTGTAATTTGTTGGACCCGTAATTGTTATTAGATTGGAAATTGTTTTTGTTTTTTTCAAGTTTTTATATAGACAATTTGAGGCTGGTGTTGATGCAGTCTAAAGACCGACATGGACTAAAATATTGTGAGCTTATAAAATTTAGTACATCCATTGGGTCTCTGACCTCAAAACCCAACTAATTTACATATAGGGCAAAATAGTATGTCTGCCCAGCAACAGTCACCATTGCTTAGCAACTAAGTTGTAGCATAATTAGGTCAGGTTAGTGAGTTTAGTCGAACACAAGCAGGCAACCAGAAAACACATTTTGGATGGACACCAAGCAAAGGGATATACGTTTTTTACGAATACACCAGTGCTACTCATGACAACAGATTGACAACCTGTTTGAATGTGAACCAGGACAATGCAGCTAAGTAGTGATTTTATCTAGTGAAGTTGAGTTACATGTTATTCAGTTATTCTCATGTTTTGGTAAAAGAGACAATAAAGTTATGGAAATTGATGAACTGTCTTCAGATATTTTATCAAGCATAACAGCGATAACGACAACTGCTTCACGATTGGAATGCACTGGTAGTAAAGGCCATAAACCGAAGCTTGTGGTATTATTAGAAACTTAGCCACGTGAACGTAGAGACCCGTTGGGATCCATCACCTTGTTCAACCACGCAGTCTCGCGAGCGTCGGTAACAGTTATAACTAAGTTATAACCTGTTTATACCTCCATGGTTATATAAGTAAGTGGGGGATTATAATAGATTTATAATAGTATCTAAATCATGCTTTCCAATGATAAACTCCCCCTTTGTGTTCAGTGCTTAACTCCTCTTTTGTACAACAGCAAATATCTTCTCTGGTGTCTAGAGCTAACAGTCTTTACGTTGGAAACGTGACCACTCGACAAATTATCTATGTTATTATATAAAATATTAGGTTTTGAGGGCTACAAAGTCTAAAAACTTACACTAAATATACCCCCCCCCCCGCCAAAAAAATAAAACATGCGTTAGAAACATACCTATGCAGTAGTAAATCAATTGTTAACAGCTTGGCTATTCTATTTACATTGGCTGTTTATCCTATTGATTTAGTTCTTGTAATGACTGATAACAGACATATAAAACCAGCGCAGAATGGCCAAAACGTGCATGTTTCATACAGGTTTGATTCTGTTGCAGGATATTGAGCAAACAAAATGCGAGAAACCTGATACATGTTGCTTTGTAGTGAACCTGCAAACACGTAGCAATATAATATGACGAAACACGGACGACGGCTTCGATTGTGAATTAAATGTTAGTCTTTTCTAGGTTTATCCAACAAGCAATTGAGGCATTCGTATTTCTCCACACCAAAGTTCCCTGACAAAATATGCTTATATAACGTTGTACGTTATTAATTGCAAACTAATTATTATTCACTTGTATTCGTTCTGTCTCTGTCACACAATAATTGAGAATTGTTGATTTATTATGCCCTTGTTTTGTGAACTACCTTCATTAAAATCAGTACATATCAACCCCATTACCGCAATAGCGTGTAACAACAATATGATATTAGTTGTATATCAATACTATGCACGCCAAGACCATGAAATAAGTCACAGTAATTTTTAAAGCGGCAGGGTCGTCACCTGCGCACGCACACAACACATGCTAAAAACGCAAAGGCTCATGGGTAGACGCTTGTTTGTAAACAATGACACAAAATGGCCATCTGAAGCATGCGCAGGCGACGACTCCCCCGCTTGAATCAATACTCGCTGTAAAATTTTGGGAATTAATCAGCAGTAATTTGACACCATTTTTAAAGCGGCAATAGAACTACATAAAATTGGCCAATTCTTACCAAAATATTGTTTAGACAATTGCATGAACAAAATCACCCTACACAAGGCTAAATGCCACATGAATTGCGATGTTAAAACTGAAGGTCGAGTAGTCGTTTTTTTTTTTTCGTTGAGATCAATTAAATGATGGGAATCATAGAAAATGACACATAAAATTATCAGTGAGAGGCCAGAAGTTCGGAAGCATCCCTGGTGTTTTGACTAACATTTCCAACAATAGTGGAAACCAGACCTTGCTTGGCCCGCTGGGCGCCACCCGCGTCAAAGTGCAGGGTGTGGTGAAAAGGTCTAACCTTGGGCCGCCCCACTGCCAAAACAGTCATTGGGGTATCTACCACTCTGTGTTCTGGAGATGGAGCCGCCACGAGAGGGCGTCCGCTTGACTGTTTCTTGTCTTGGAAGGTGGTGTGCGGCTAGCTCCACATGTATTCCAAGTACCAAAAGAGAATTTGCTCCGCTAGAACTGACGATGATGGGGATCTACCCCCTTGTCGCTATAGGAGACCACTGATGTGTTGTTCGTATGAAGCAAGACTTTGTGGTCTCGAACTAAGGGTAGTAGGTGAATCAGTGCTAAGCACATTCTTTCAGTTCGAATCAGTTGATTTGGCAGCCCTGAATCTAACGCAGGAGCCATATTTTCCATTGGGGTTGTTCGTCCAATAGGTGCGCTTCACAACATGTGAGGGAGGCATCTGTTTCCAGAGTCATAGCCATGGAGAGTGGGTCTAAGGGGACCCCCCTGTCTGAGGTTGGCAATTGCCGATCATCAGGGCAAGACATCCCTCGCTTGGTACAGTTCCCGTAAGTGAGCCCAGTATTGCAACATTCCGATGATCTGCATCAGTTCGCAGAGGAACAGAGATGGAACACTGACTAGGCGTTTGGCTGGGTCGTTAAGGCAACAGGCCTGTGGTGACCGTACCAAGCCCACCTCCCTGCCCAGGAACACCAACTGTTGTATTGGCTGAGGGTGGGACTTGCTTGATTCACTAGGAAGCCCAACTGGTCTAGAAAATCTGGTGTTACCCTTACTGTTTGACTATCCACCCCTTGTTGGGCTGTGTAGCATCCAGGCATCTAGGTACACGTTGATGTGTACCAATGTGATGTGTACCGGCGCAGCAGTAGCACCACCTGTTTCCACACTCCGGTCAATGCGTATGGAGCCATGTAATACCTGAACGGGAGCACCCTGCACTTGACTACTTGGCCCAACTGGGTGAATCGAGAGAATCACTGACTCACTGGGTGTATCGATATGTGCGGCTCAGTATCGCTCAAATCTAGCGAGGCTAACCAGTAGAAACAGAACACGAAGAATAATACGGTGCTCAGCGTTTCCAGGAAGCACATACTGACTTAGTCTACTTAATTCTAGAACGGGGTGCAGCCAACTGTAGTCTTTGGAACCAAAAATACTCGTGAGTAGAAGCCCAGACTTAACTCCAGGTCCCCTATTCTGTGTATAGCACACTTTGTAAGCAAACTATCTACCTCCTGTCAAATTAACGAGGGCTGGTGCCATGGGGGTAGAGATGGCAGCGGGATCTTGTAACCGTGTATCGCCACCTGGAGAGTCCAGGGATTGGTCATGCGCTTCCTCCGAACTGGAATACACCAGTGCAATCAGTGCAACAGAGATGTGTGGGTTCAGCGGTTCCACATAGGGGGAGATCTCTCCTCTGCCGAAGTGAGACCCTGTAAGGTCTGTAGAAGTCGATAGGTTGAGACTCATGCAACATGCCTATCCCCTCGTCGCAAGCGGAAGCTTCAAACCTGCACCACCTGGTCCCTTCTTCCTGGGGGCGCATCGCCACTCTTCCCTCCTCGGAAGAGCCAGGACGCTTGCCTCCTGGCTACTTCTGGCCAGTGGGTGCCGACTTTGGTTGTTACGTTTTCTCAGCTTGGAGTCCTCACCGCTTGCCCTTGGCTTGCGAGTCTCACATGTACCAACTGGTCAGTGGGATCCCGAAGCACTGAGACTGCTCCTTCCATCCTCAAAAAAGAAGAGGGTGGGGGAGGTCCAGTCTGTGTAACTGAGCTAGTGATGTCTCTAGTGAAAACAGCCAAAACAGAGGCAGCCCGTGCTGCCTGATCGGGGCACGAGATTTGACTTTAGACTTTGCTGGCTCCGGTTCAAACACAGCTCAATCGTTAGCGCTTGGTCCAGCAGAAAGGGTTGAGCATAAAATTGTGGGGGACCAAGGTCCGCCCATCAACACCGTCTGTGCCCCCCCCCCCCAACGTCCATCACCCGGCCAGACCAGGAGAGTCCTGCAGTTGGTATTGCTTTGGATCCCGGAAGAGACAGTCCTACTGAGAGTGACTGTTTCAGGATCGAGGGTGGGGTGGGTACGGGGGTCTGAACATCGGGTCACTAGAATCAATGTTTCCCCCCCCCCCCCACGGCGTGGCTCACAGAGTCATTACAAAGAACAGACTCCGAGGGGCTGCCCGAGGTTGCACTTGCCGTGATGGCTCAACACTTTTTACAAAACAAATTAAGAGTAGGTTGCCTACATAAAATCTGTTGACATTCATTTACCAGTGACGCATCATGGAATTCGAACACTGTGTGTGTGTGTATTAAGAATGCGAGTTGAGCCAGAATGCTAGTATATCACCCTGTATAGTTCAAAATTACGACAAACTCCTCTGCTTTAATTTATTCACAGAACCGTTGGAAATAACATAACAATGTTACAAATGTTATTGTACATTTCACTTGTAAGATAAGCTCTTGAATACAGAAGTGCTTGCAGGTGTTATTACATCTCTCATTATGCAAAAAATGATTGACATACTCTTTTTTTTCTTATTAGTTATTATCTTGACTTGTTGTACCATTGCATGTTATGTAGCAATAAATCTCAAGGTACTGTTACCAAATTGTATAAGACCTATAGCAATTTATCCAGAGTTATGGGGAAACCAGGATTGTCATTGCATATTACAGTGTATGACATGGTGGGAGTGTGTACAAATTCTCAGCAGCTGCTGGCTTGTTAGCTGTTGTATATATCTGGTAGCGTCACTTATGTGTGGGCTGTGAATACGAAGGCAACGTTCAACAATTGTATTTGGCGTACCGTTTGTTCAATGTTCAAGATATTATTGAAATTTATTAATGTTTAATTTTCATATTTATATTTGATTTGCCTCCATTTCATGTGCAATCACTGGAATCTGCCTTGTATACGCGTTGCACTTGATGAATTTTTTCGATCAAGCTCTTATTGAACAAGTTATTGTCAATGACACGTCCCCGTTCCGTTCATATTTGAGTGACATATACATTCAAAGCAGATCATGACCGAAATGCACCTGCATATGTACAACACATTGTGCTAAATCTGAACAAAATCCATCCATGCATGACTGAGATCCGGTTCTGGAATTGTGAAGATAC